AGTTAGTTATATATACGTAGTAGTAGTAGTAACGTAATAGTAGTAGTAGTAGTAGTACACACGACGTAGTAGTACGTACGAACTAACTAACTATATATATATATATATATATATATATATATATATATATACACACACACACATTGAGACCATTTACCTTGGGTACCAGGTGGTCACAATTAATCTTGACCATTGGATGAGAAATTGGGTGGCTGCATTTCATTGACCAGGCTAAAAGTTCAAAAGAATGTTTCTCGAACTTTGTGACACAAACTATCAGATTTCACATCATATGATTACAAATAATTGTGACCACCTTGTATTAGAGGTAAATAGTCTCATTGTATACAATTCCATGTGTATATAATGTGCAGAGAGATTTTCCTCAAACAATCGAGTGAAACAATAGGTAGATGATCTAAAAACCATCAGACAAGGCTTTGCTTCAAGGTCCTCAAATATCACCATATCACCATTTAAATTAATCATTGATCCCCAAAAAAAATAAGGATTTCTTGGAAATTCAACAAATAATTCTAAAAACCAGGAATAAAAACTGCTATCCTTTCATGAAAACAACAAAAGAACATGACTTGGCATAAAGTCTTTAAACCAGATTACAGTTAAATTAAGTTTGAAGTATTGGATCAATCTGACTAATTTGGAATACAGTAAAATCCCCAGCTTTGAACCTAGAAAGAGCCATGAATCCCGATTAACCATTACCCCAAATCTCATCCACCACATGACATACCTCAGTAGTCGAGGAAGAACCAATAAACCAGCACTGTAGGCCCTTTTATTGAGGACTTGCCCACAGGCTCCCCAACCCGAACTATATTCCAGGCAATAACTAGAGTCCAAGCACGACACAATATAGGCATAACCAAAGCCGAACTTCCCATCAACATCAAGTTAACCATAAAACCCCAAACCAACCCATCCAAATATCTAAACTCATAATCACATGGAACCAGCCCCTTCTATTTCTCTTTACAAAACAACTAAGGATGGGACCAGAACCAGGATACCTAAAATGGATTTCACAGCTTCCTGAAAGGTGGGGTTATCACCTTTATAGTAGATTGCTCCATCTTTTGGGAAACATGAAACACTCGTTAGATCAGCCACGGTGAGAGATTCACACCCCAACAATCAGACCTTGGAGGTATCGATGACTGGACAGCTAAAGCATGGCATTCTCCAACACAAATTTCTTGCATGCTCCTAGAAAATGGAGACATCCAGTTCTCAATGGCCTTGGAAGCCTTTGCAAATCACATAATACAATTTGGGGCTCGAAGATCTAAAGAGGCAATCCTTGGGCTATACAGATGAAATTTAGATTGGTGTAGCTCTTTAAGAACTCCTCCATGACTGGAACATGGATGTTTTTATTGAGACTGGAAATGCAAGTGGCCAATTATTGGCAGTAGATTGTGAATCAGTCGTCAGAGATTAATTCAGAGTAAACTTAATGAAAATCCAACTTGTAGACCAAACATCAGGTCTAAAATCGCTGATGTTGCTCATAGATGGTCATATTTACTTCATAGTTATTACAGTAGAGAGAGATGAAACACGCACTGCATAGATGCTTTTCATCAATGGTCCAAATTTGATCAAATGGAATCTTCTGCATATACTCTCTCCAAAACACTACATAAACCCGTAACCGTAATTAATCTAACACAAAAAAATGAAAAAAGAAAAGAAAAGAAAACCGAACCCAAGCTTGTTTCATGCCATCCTTAGAGAGAGACTTAGAGACAGAAAGGGAGGCACACCCATCTTCTTCCTTAGGAACCTGGTGTGAGAATCTAATGGAGGTCCCATGGAAGACATGGTCTACAATACTCCACAACCATCAACCATCAACAAGAGGAGGTTACCGACCATTTTCATCCACCATTCTTTTGTTGATCCTTGCTGCAAAGCAGTGAAGTAATCGGGTTCCCTTGGCTCATAGTGTCCCGTGGTTCATTCCATTTGACTACTAGAATTCATCTCTTGCATGTCTAGTTCAATTGCCTACAACTTGGTGTGGTTTGCAAGGGTATTTTCCACACAAGGGTATTTTCCACCATTTTCTTGCTGAATTTTTCTGAGATTTTTATAAGTTAAATCAGCAAGGTTTCGAGTTTCTAGTAAGCTTAAATAATATTCTTCAGAAGTCCTCTCTATGACAAGTTTATATCTCCCACTCACATGATCATCTCTGACATAAGTGTTACTCATATCATGCTCTTAGTCTCCCACATCCTCTCTCATATGTTTTTGAATCAGTCCCTCATTGGGTAATCTTGATTATCTTGAGGACCATTCGGGTAGTAAGATTCCTAGCTAATTGCCTCCCAAATTTGAGATCAATTTGGACCATAGATCGAGAGTAAACATCTTATGGAGTGTAACTAAGTCTTAGCTGTAAACCGGGCACCACATGCTTACTATTTTGGCTTCCCATGATCTAAATCCTCATATGCACACATTTGTTTGAGTCGTATAATTTGGAGAATGAATTAATTTGAGTTTGTAAGAAAAGTGTTTGTATATATTCATGAGAAACCTGTATGGTGCTGAAATTTGTATGCAAGTGATGTTGTATTGAGTTTTATCAATCTCCACAGTGTATGTTTGAGTAGAATGCAGTTGGGGACCAAAGTGAGGTCTTATACTATGCATTTGAGTGTATGCAATGGTCTTCAAATGCTTGTAAGAATGACTATGCTGCTGTAATTTTTGTTAAGAGTACTGTAAATTTTTCAAAGTTTTGCATACTTGAGCTTGGCCCTATACGGGTATCAAAGCACTTGATGAGTGTATAGGGCCAAGCTCAAGCACACAACACTTAAAAATTTACAATAACTCTGGCATTTGAAGCTTGACTTACAATGCTCTTAGTCAAAATCACTGCAATATAATCATATACACCCAAAAATAAAGATACAAGACCTCACTTTAGTCCCCAACAAAACACAAGTAGCTACTCACACAAGTGCTCATTTTATTTTTCCCTTTCAGTTCTCATATATTCTCAAATCCATACTACGAACATGTTTAGAAAAAACATTTGTCACCAATCCTTTTGTCATAGGATCCGCATGCATAGCCTAAGGTGGGATACAAGTAAAATCCATCTCCCATTCTCAATGTCCAATCTAATATGGTAGTAATCAGCTCTAATATGTTAGGACTTGCTATGAAACCCAGTTTCTTTTGCCACACTTATTGCCGCTTGATTATTACACATGATCCTTATGGTTTCACATTTCAAGGGCCCATAACGTAATTGGTTAAGTAACCTTTTATTCTAAATGGCTCTTTAGATGCCAAACAACATGCCACATACTCAGATTCCATAAGTAATAGGGCTCTTATATTTTGTTTCTTCAAACATCAAGATATAGCACACCCATTATAAACAAACCGGTAACCTAAACTAGATTTTAACTCATCCATGTCACCTAGGAAAATGGCATCCAAATATCCAAGCACGGTTAAATCCGATGCATCCCCATAATTAAGAGCATATTTGATTGTACCCTTTAGATATATTAGAATCCTTTAGAATCCTTTTTACTGCATTCCAATGCTCAATTCCTCTATTACCTTGGTATGTTTTAATCAGGCTTTGGGAAAAAGCTAGGATCGGTCTAGTTTCCATGGTGATACGCATCAATGATCTATGGCATTTCTACAGGGTACGATTTGCATTTCTCTTCTTGCTTCATCATTCTTAGGGCACATTTTTAGGCTTGACTTTAATCTCTTCTCTATGCGCATACATATGGGTTTGCAATCACTCATACCAAATCTTCAATTATTTTCTTGCAATATGTAGCCTGTGAAAGTTGGATTGTCCAAGTTGATATATCTTATGATTTTGACTCCCAAGACGTATGATGCTTCTTCCATATCTTTCATATCAAAATTATTCCGACAATAAGGCTTTGGTTTCCCTTACTATGCCTAAGAGTTATTATCTATTAGCATGTCATACACATAGAGTGTCATAGATACTATGTTACTCCCACTCATCTTGAGATAAACACATTTGTCCTCATTAGACTCGAACCCAGATTTTGTCAAGGTTTCATGGAATTTGATGAAACCACCTTTGTGAAGCTTGCTTAAGACCATATTAGGATCTAAAGAGTTTATACAATAGGTTCTCTTTCCTGTAAAACCACAAAACCATCGGGTTGTTTCATGTAGATTTCCTCCTCTAACTCCTGTTTTAGAATGCCAATTGGACATCCATTTAATGGAGTTCTTGGTCAAGGTTGGAGCCTATGGATAATGATGATTCCAATGATGACTAATTTTGCAATAGATGAAAAAGTGGCATGGTAGTCTACTCTTTTTGGGTGAAGCCCTTAGCCACTAGCCTTGCTTTGTATTTTTCTAATTGGCCCTCCAAGTTAAACTTCTTTTTGTATATCGG